GACAAATGTAATCCCAAATTCATTGAAGTAATGATGTTGGTATTAAATCAGTATTGAGAGAATAGTATAATTACTAGAAGCTGCAAAAACTGGGTCAACCTAAGTTCAGTTCTATGATAGGCTTTCATATTCTGGACAAACTAATCTTGGAATCCCAGCTGCTGGATGCATCTGCTCTAGAGATGCAAACAAATAAATGCAATATATCCTCTCCACTGGATGAAGGATAAAGAATTACTTGCTAGTCTATTGCTTGGCACAGAAAGTCATAAAATCTCATTGCTTCCTTTGGAGTTCAGTTGCCTACTAACTTTTTATGAAAATAAGCCTGATTGAATAAATCATTGAATCAATTAAATTTAAAGTTCAGCAATTAACAGGCATGTTTTTAAGTGATCATTTTAGTTTCTATTTCTAGCATATGTGGGATAATAATCTAAATTCATACAACATCAATTTTGTTAACAAAAGTTCAAGCCATAACAGCTTCTCTATAACAATATACCATCTACAATGAATGGATGAGGAATAAATAACACAGGGAGAGTCAGTGTGTGTGTGTGTGTGTGTGTGTGTGTGGCCACACATGTGCACATGTACAATTATTATTGGTTCTTCATTTGTTTTGGAGATTCTAAAATTTAGCACTTTTAAACGCCAGAGTTCATCAGGCAAGTATCAGGAGGATGACTGTCTGTACCTTCTACAGTGTACCACCAAGAGGGATTTCTTTCCCTGACTACAAAAGAAAAGTTGTTGATACACCAGCAGACTCAAGAGTAATTTATTAATGATAATTGACTTTCCAAATATGCATTTTAAGAAGCAAAAGGCAGGTATATGACTTTGATAACTGTTATATTCATTATCAAAAATTAGATAAGATTAAGTTTTTTTAAAAAAAATGAGCTACTATAATTTTTTGTGCAAACTTAAAACAATTTAAGCGATCAGAAAACAATTTTATATATCACAGAAATTCAGTTATACTAACTTAAAAGCCTGATGGCTTCTAGAAGTTGACTGTATTTGCAAGCAGCACTGCAATTTATAAGAACTAGCTAAGAAAAGTTATGCACAAAGTTACATTTCCAATTCATTTGATAGCAGCCTCTAGAGGTGTTTTCAATTAGCTACATTTTTTTTTGATTTACTCTGCTTATCAAAGTGGAATAAAGCTCTAAAAATGCTGTCAATCAAGGATGACTCTGGTGACATTTTTCAGTGTTAAATAAAGGGATTACCAATTGGTTGCCAAGGAAAATCAACAGGAATATACCCTACAGTCAGACTCAGTTTCCAAAAAGTGGTTAAACCATATTAAAAGGAGAAAAAATTAACTCTTGAGAGGTGGAGAATTTTCTTGTAATTGTGCTCAATTTAGAAAATGCATTTAGATGCTTTTGAGAAAGTAGTTCCTGGAGAGTTAGAAAAGATATGAAAGGAGACACACAGAGAGATGCAGGTGTTAATTATTACTCTATCTGCCTTTGAATGAAACCAAAAGAAAGTGGAGATGCACTTCTTTAAGAACAGTGTCGAATCTACGAAACAAGTTCCCACTTTGAGCCAATAGCCATGTATTCTGACACTTCACCCTTGGCCAGGCTCCACAAGGAATGGAATGCATCCTCTTTTTGTCAAAACTTACTAATGAGCTCACCCACTCACTTCTCTGTGCTTGTTGGAAGCTTTCATCCCGTTCCCTTTCTCTCAGCATGTAATTCTTCATTATAGCTAGAGTAATGGTAGTCATCTGGTCCCATCCACTTTCATCAAACTGTTCCTTTCCACTCGGCACAGTCAAGGGAAGACAACATTGCTGCCTAGGCACCAGGGCAAGAATTTGTTCTCCTCTTTCTCCTCTTCTCTTTTTCTTTGCATTTTATTTCCTCTCTCCTCCCCTTCCCATTCCCCTCTCTTTATTCCTTCTCCTCTTCTACTTTTTCCTCTTTTTTTCCTAAATTCTCTCCTCCCTTTCTTCTTGCTTATTTCCTTTTTTATCTTTTAAGACAGAATTTAAGTCACTAAGTTGCCCAGCCAGAGTTCAAAATCGTGATTCTCTTGGCTACCCCTACCAGGGTGCTGTCTTTCTCTTCCTATAAACACCGTGCTCTGACAGTCATCCTCCTGATACTTGCCTGATGAATTCTGGCATTTAAAAGTGCTGAATTTTAGAATCTCCAAAACAAATGAAGAACCAATAATAATTGCACATGTGCACACGTGTGCCCCCCCCCCGACTGTCTCTCTCTGTGTTATTTAATCCTCATCCTTTCTTGAATGGTCAACTTTATTCACATTTAAATTCCAGAATTATTTCCAAAAGTTCTACTCTGTTTACCCCTTTCTTGCTGCATCCTGGATGGATAGTCCGTCACTGTCATTTGTTTTTTAGAGCTTGGAATCACTTTGGAGTCTGTGGACTGGACTTGCTCTTCCATGCAGACAGCAGAGGGAGGCAGGAGGAGCCATCCCACTGGCAGAGGGAAGGGTTTTCTCAAACTTTCTGATGTTCCAACCCTCTTTCCTCTGGATTCATCTCAGGTGGTTCAAAATTTAAAGTCTTGAGTTGAAATCTTATTCTCAAAGGCTACCTTGTAGCATATACTTCCATGACTTTGTTATAATATTTTGTAAAGATATCTTAATACATTTTTCAGTATTATTTTTTATTAATATATGTTTCCATTAAATAATGATTATACTTCTTGTGGGGGATTTGTGCATGTGTATAACACATCTCAGTTTTTTTCTCATCTCCTTTATCTCTTCTCCCTCCTACTTGTTTGATGCTCTTCCCTTTTGAAAATAATGTATCTTCTTACTTGCTATTACCTACTTTTTTGTGCTCTTCATTTATATTTTTGGGTTTTCATATAAAAGAAATCATGAGGCATTAAAGCTTCTGTGTCTAGTTTATTTCACTCAATACTGTGATATCAAGGTATAACCATTTTCTTACAAATCACTTAAGTTTATCTTTCTTTATGGCACAGAAGTACTCCACTGTATACGCTTATCACATTTCCTTTATCCTTTCATCCATTAATGGCCACACAGGTGCTTCCAAGATTTAGCTATTATGAACTGGGCTGCTAAAAACATTGGCATACATGATAGAGAGATATAAATCAGAAAGAAAAGGTCTCATCAAGAAATCAAATAATAAATAATTGTGAGGTTCTAAGAAAAAGGAACTCTTCTCCACTGTTGGAGGAAATATAAACTAGTAAAGCCACTCTAGAATCAGTATGGAGACTCCTCGAAAAACTAAAACTAGAAATTCCATTTGACTCACGTATTTCTCTTCTACATATCTTCCTGAAACTATTAACAGATTTTAATTTTCTACAGGTCTCTGAGCTCCAGCCTTACTTATCTTGCCTTTTAAAACATCCACCAGGAAATTCTCGCCACTTAGAGGAAAGATGGAGGGAAGGAAGGAAAGCAAAGATTCTGATTGTGGAATGAAACTGAGATATAGGGAGGGGACTGCTTAAGGCAACCAGAGGCCAAAGGCGAAAACACAAAATAGCCTGGTCCAAAGCTTCATGTGGTTTAATATAAAACTGGTAGCTCTTTGTCAAAAGATTAATTAAGTAATGTGGAATGTCTTCCTCCTATCTAACTCAACTTTAAAATTCACAGTTAATATTTCACCCAACTTTTCTCAATGGATAGAATTGACTCTCATAATAAGGTTATTTAAGTGACATATTTTTAAAAAGGAAAACATGCAACAATATGAACTAATACAATAAGTTTGCCTAGGCCTGGCTGGCAATAGAGCATCACGACCTAGATAAATCATTACCTCATGACCATCCTAAAAGCTAAGGAGAACAGGGGCTATTTTCATTTTACAGTTGAGAAAACTGCAGTTCCAAGAGGTTGAGAGGTATGTGAGCCTCGGAGCTGTGAATAAATTGAGGAAGGTGAAGGTAAAGGAGAGAAATATTAGATTTGCTCTTTCAAAAATGCTCCCGTGGGAGAAATGCAATCTTAATCAGCAGAACAAACACATACTCAGCATCTGTATCTTAGAGTCCACCTCTTTTTATTCCTGTGATAGAAATTTTACAGAAGGAAAGCTCATCACTTCAAAGCCTATCAGACAGGAATTTTTCCAGAGATATGAGCCTCTCAAATACCTTGTTCCCCAAATACTCTTAAATTTGTAAGAAATGCATTGATTAGAGGTTTAACATCCTGTACAACTGGTACACATTTTTGTTAAAGACAAGACACAGTGAAATGTTTCCCTCTGTGTGTCCCTTCATGTTTGTGGAACACCTATGTTCTCCGGAGCTCTTGAGTAACTAACTCCCACTCACTGCTAACACATTGTCCTCCCTGCCGCCTTACACTCTTGAGATCCTCTTGTTCTTTTAGAGGTCTCCTGATCATGTATTCTTATTTCATCTATTTCCCTTAACTAGCTGTCGTTTTTCAGATCCTTCTATGGGCTGTATCACTTCTGGAGTACCCATAACAACATCTTCTGTTAGATCAAAAGCATCAACAAGACTATTTTAAGAGAGCTTATGTCCATGATAATTTAAATACAAATACTTTAAAGTATGCCCAACAGTGACACAATGGATTGCAACAATGAAAATACTTGTTGTGTATTAGCAGTAGTAACACAGATGATTTTGGACTTTTCTTCTGAAATATATTTTTAATATTTTTATGTGGCTTGCCAATAAATAAGGAAATAGGTTACAGGGTCTTATAACTGTGGCATTTTTGCATTGGTGATACTCTTGGTAATACATATGATTCATTTGATTGCATGGTATCTGGTATCAAATAAATTTTAACAGAAGTACAATTTCAAAATATAATGCCCCACAAGGAAAAGTGTGGCGTATTTAATCATTATGTGTAGCATGATTGCTTTCTAGTTGTTTTGGTAAATAAAACAAATTTAAATCATGTACTCTGCATTTCTCAGGGCTAACCAGTGAGAAGCAGGTGGTGTGCAGACGACTTACCCACTCTTCCTCATCGTAGTCTGAGTGGTGTGGGATGGAGTCTTGCCTTTTCATTGGCAGGGGCTGGTCCTGCGAATGGCTCTCTTCTGGGCTGCTCTTAGGAGAGGGCGGTTTCTTAAGGATGCCTCCTGGCCTGGCAGTGTAGAGTGCTAAAAGAGCGCTCCTGACCAGCTGATCCTTGAAGGCATGCACAAAAAGCTCTGTCTGGAAAAAAAAAAATTGATAAAGATTAGAAACTGCTGGTAGGCAGTGTACAGCTATGAAAAGGTCAATTGCAGATTTGTTGGTACTTAAGTAGTATGTATGGGGGAGCACTGGCATCAGTGAGAGAAAATGATTCATACCGATCAATGAAAAATGGTTGGGTTTGGGGATGCTGCCAAGGCCTTGTTTTAAAGTTAATGCTGAGGTTTTTAATGCACCATAAACACCATCTGTCTCCTCAGCCTCCTTTCCTTCAGCTCCAAATCCTGTCTTTGGGAATGAATTTCACTGAGAATTGTCATTTGAACAGCACCTACCCGTTACATCTTTCAAGTAATTCCAATGCATCTTAAAAGAAAATGTGATCAGATTATGTATATATTTATTTTAAATCGCATAAAATGGATACATTAGTCCAAAAACAGTAAGGAAAACTTTTTGTTTTTTGTTTTTTTTTTTTTAGTTCTGTGGACAAATCTCAACATTAGAGATGATATAGCCGTTTTCTTAGGAAAACAACTGCATTTCATGCCTTGTTATCAGACCTCAAACTGTCTCCTCCACCAAACTGCTTTAGTAGCTCAGTGTTAATAAGATTATTGTGAAACCTGGCATGGTAGATTTTACAAGCTAGTAGTAAATACTTAGTAAGTACTATGGTAATGATGATTTCCCAACAATAAAGAACTTTACAGCTGTACTTTGCAATTTCCTGATGAATTGTTTAATAGCTTAACCCTGGAATAAACTGGAGGGTGGAATAATTGATTTTTGTATTACAGTATACTTAACATGTGTATACTTAACAAGCTGTTTAAAGAGTAGAGAAATAAGGATTGACCCATGCAGTCAATATATTACACTTTGTAATCTGTTAGGCAGGAGTCCTTTAAAACTTAGTATTATCTCAAATAATAATTGATATCATCACCATTTCATTTGGCACTTTTGGATATAATGCTAATTTAACCATTGCTGTAACTCAAGGTAATTATTCCTTGGTGCATTCTCTATATGCAGTTAACAGGGCCACGTTTAACTGAGGCTTACCCAATTAGCTCTAAATCTTTCTGTTGTGAATGTCATCAATTAAAGAAAATCAGCTAAACCTTGTACAAAATAAATGCCTAGTAAGACTCTGTCATAGCTCCAGAGTTAATTCTTTGTAATAGATTGCAGAGCTGGAAGCAAAAGAGCCTGAAGTTGACTGTCGTGCTAATCAGATAAAACTAAGATGTGTGGTGATCAGTTATAGTGCAATCTCCTTCTAGTCAGCACAAATGGAACAAACTTCTTTCTGCCTAACAAACTGAGTAGCTTTGCCTTTTATCCCACACCACCCACGACCTGCCATCACTCTAGATGTTTCCGTCTGCTTTCGTAACTCCAAATCCCCATATGTTTTGAACATTTATCAGCTCTCACGACTAAATGTGCCCACAACTCCCCATGAAATAGCTGAAATGTATCTGCTATTTTTAACACTTTGTTAATACAGTAGTCATACTGAAATCATTTTGAAGGTAAGAATGTCAGCAATATGGAAAACTGAAATAATATTGAAAGATTTAAAAATTTTGGAAAAAATGCCAAAACCAAAAGTCAGCTTTTAACAAAAAGGCACCAGAAAGGTCCTTTGATGATTGTAGTGACATGCTAAAATGATAAGGGGTGGTATAAAAAAATCTGATGGACAAACTGGTGAGTATTCAAGTTACAGGAAAACTGAAATATAAGATTTACATAATTTTCACATAGCATAGATGAATCTATCAATATTAATTTAAATATTAATGTGTGAATTTATAACCATTCAGTTTAACCAAACTATTTCTCTGATGATAGTTTTAATATTCTTTTGATTTATTTTTAGAACAAAACAGTTCACCTTCTTTGAATTCCTGCAACTATAACTCTAGATTCCACAATACTTACATAATCACTATGTAGTAGGATATCTATTGGCACCCAGTGAAATCTTCTACAACACTCGTAATTCTTTTCTCCCCTTACTATGTGCACAAGGAGAGATTCTACTACATTTGTTTGCATCTCATTTGATTAGATTTATCACCAAAGGCAAGAAAGATAATGAAGCAGAGTCTTGCAACCCAGATGTACAACTCAAGAGTTTTCTTCAGCTGGCTAAATATGAGGTCACAAATTATTAAATAAATGCAGTAATAGTTGGTCGTTTACTGGGTCGATACTGAAATATTTATCTAGTTTCTTGTAAGCTCTCAGGATCATCAGGATATTGTTTTGCATAAAATATTTACATATTCTATTGCAAATATTCATGTGATCTAGAAGAATCTTAATTTTCTTGCCTGGCACTACCGACAACTTTGGATGTGCTACAGTCAAAATAAATCAGTCTGAGGAGCCCAACGCATCTGTATGTTGATGTTCTTGCACGTGGAAGATACCAGTGAAGTGCAGTTCAGGAGAAGCATGTGTCTCTCAGTTGCAGACTGAACACTGTGAAAACCATTTGGCCTTAATAACTCAGATGTTACTCTGTCATACGAAAGAAAAAGGGCTGCGTTCTAGTGAAGGTAGGAAAAAAACACTTCATTTAAAGTGTCAGTTCAGCAATATAGTTTTTATAAAGACAAAATAATTCTTTAAACCTAAAGAAAGTAATTATATTTATTTGATAATAAAAAAGGAAAGGGAAATGCTATTTTACTCTTACTGGCATTTTTCAAATTCGTATTTCCATACATCTATTATTCAAAGCCAAACAGAATTATCTAAAAGTTTTATCTTACTTAAATTACTTCTCCTGAGGATTAGTGAAGAGAAATTCCTAGCTTTCTGAAATTTAACAAGCAGAAGAGTAATTAAGACATGCCCATTTAAGACCACTGCTTTTCAATGGTGGTCTCAACAAATTAAGAAAATTCTCTTGCATTTAGAACATTATTCCTACCAAAAAATTCAAGATTATGCTTAATTATATCTAAAATACAGAAATAGCCAATGCATAAACATCTAATTATGATTACATTAGTAGTCAGTTAGGTGGCATGAATTATTTCTATTTATTTTGTGACATGCTTTAATTATTTCAGAGAGAAATACTACTATCTTCAGTCATTAGTATACTGATGTGTTTTCAGTATTTCTTAAAGGAAAGAAATCTAGCAAAAGCAGGACATCTGGACAGCTATGTATTATGCACTGAATCTTGGGCATGTCATATAACTACTTTTCTCAGTTTGTATAAAATTACATATATCTGTGAAACTCTTACCGGAGTTCATTGTGAAGTACATTTTTTTTTTTTTTTGATGTTCCACTCTTTGGTCTCATCTATTCAGTTTTCTTTTTGAACTCAACATCCCTTGATGATCCCAAATGTGATAAGTAGACTTATCCCAAGAAACTTAAATCACTATCTCAAAAGTGGTTTTCCCCTGCACTGACATAATCCATTTGCTCATAGCATCAACCATCATCTTTATGTCTACTCTAAAATCCATGTCTATTTATCTCCTGCACCATCTGTATCGACTGTTTCCACAGAAAATACTTTGAGTTTGGAAATATCACTCTCAAGTTCTGTTGTTTTGCTTTGTAAATGTTTTATCATATTTTCTATCTGAGTGATATCATTATTATTCCCTTAGCACCCAGACTTCTGGGTCATTCTCAGTGATAGCCGTATCCTGGATTAGTTATCAATTTCTTGTACTTAAAGGTTTTCAGTATTTTCAAAGACAGACCTTTCTTTCCATTCTCATTGTTAATTCCAGTTCGAATCCTTTTCACATTTCAATAGATACAACCACTGCTTGATTCACTTTCCTAAAGTTAACATTTGTTCCATTTAGGGGATGTTTATGCAAAGGGTACAGCTATTAAAATATGGATTCCTGATTCCCAGCCTTGGATTCTTGAATAAGAATTTGTATGTTTAGTAAGCTCCCCTAGGAGTGCTACTAACATCTGTGATGCCAGTAATGTCCAGTAATTCAAACATGGTGCTCTAATCCAGCCTATCTATTGTTACATCGATGGTCTGCATTGAGCCCACATCTAAACTTTCCTCACTCAGCTTCTTACTTCTTATAGAATAAAATTTCTTCCAGGTAAATATGAGTTCACTAGTTAGGTGATATAGTATTTTTTAACTTTAAAAACCATGGAAACTTGCACATTTCTAAAGTGAGTAAATAACTATGCACTCAAACTGTGCTAATGAAACATAGGTTCAGTTGTTGCATCTCCCCTTACATGCCCAGCCCTTCTGATGTTAGTTATTCTAGTATATGATTACTAGGATCTCACTGTGTCCAGAATTGGCATTTCCCTGATGAAAAATGTTGTTCAGTACCTTTTCCTGCACTTATTTGCTATCCATATAACTGTTTTGGTTGTCTTTTTAATTTGTTTTGCCATTTGTAATTAATGTCTTATTAAATTGGATGAATACTTTATTCTAATACAAGTCCTTTGTCAGAAATGTATTTTACAGATACTTTCTCCCAATTTATGTCTTTGCATTTTCTTAACAGTGTCCTCTGAAGGATGAATGTTTTTATTTTATTTTACATTATTATTATTATGGAAGATGGGCAAGAGGATTGCAAGTTCAAGTGCAGTTTGGGCAACTTAAGAACTAGTGAGACCTTGCCCGAATAAACAAACAAACAAACAAATACACAAATACCTCGTTGCAGTTTTGCTTTTTACAGAATACCAAGCGGAATAATTTTTATATTCACAATTGCTAGATTTTATTGTGCTCTTTAAAAAATATGTTGTTCTGATGTGAAGTTATTTTGGATCACTGGTGTGAAGTAAGTTACATCAGGATCATAGAAATCTTTTGAAGCCCTAGATGATGGATTAAGAGAAAATTTTAATCTAGGACTAATTTAGCTCCGCTGCCAGAACCACATCTTTCTATGTACTTCACTAAATTCTCTGGGAATTACAAGATTTTTTTCATTCTTCTGGAGGAAGAGGAACAAACTTACACCTATGTGATT